TTCTTGTGGGAATCGATTATTTCACCAAATGAGTAGAGGCTACATCATATGCCAATGTCACTCAATCCACTATTTGCAAATTTATAAAGAAAGAGATCATATGTCCGTATAGTTTACTTGGAAGGATCATTACCGATAATGCTACAAACTTGAACAACAAGATGATGGACGCTGCTTGTGAACAATTCAACATAAAGCATCACAATTCTACTGCTTATATACCAAAGATAAACGAAGCAGTAGAGGCAATAAACAAAAACATCAAAAATATGTGGAGAAAACAACTGAGACTTACAAAGACTGGCATGAGAAGTTGTCTTTTGCTTTGTTCGCTTACCGAACCTCAGTACGAAACTCGACTGGGGCAACTCCATTTTCACTAACTTATGGAATGGAAGTAGTGCTACCCATTGAAGTAGAGATTCCATCTCTTCGGTCTTGACAGAAGTCAAACTGGATGATGCAGAATGGGTACAATCCCTATATGATCAGCTGAACCTGATAGATGAAAAGAGACTGAAAGCCATTCATCATGGTTAAATCTATCAGAAAAAAATGATCTGAGCACATGATAAAAAGGTACGCCCGAGAATATTCCGCAAATGAGATATAGTGCTAAAGAGAATTTGACCAGTCCAGAAAGATTTCCGAGAGAAATGGACACCAAATTGGGAAGGACCTTATGTCATGAAAAAGGCCTTTTCCGGAGGAACCCTAGTCCTGGCTGAAATAGACAGACCTAAACTGCCACATCCCATCAATTCAAATGCAGTCAAGAGATACTTCACTTATGATGAAAACCCGAGAGGGCGTCCTAAGTCGAAAAAAAAGAAAAGAGAAAAGAAAAGACCAAAAAAGAGAAAACATTTAGGGTGAAAACTCGAAAGGGCGCCCTAAATTGAAAAATGAACAAAAGAAAAAAAAAAGAAAAATAAGGTGGGTTCAAGATAAAAACCCACAAAGGGCGTCTTGCAACCAATGATGGGTCCAAGTTGAAAACCGAAAGGGTGATTTGGATATTGATTCAAGAAATCCAGACGGTGGAAACATCCCGGCATCTGAATATTCTACAAACTCAACAAGTCGGATAAAGGTTGCACTCTCCAAAACGTTGTCGCATTTTCGAAGATTCCTTGACAAAGGCTGCATTCAAGGTCACCTAACAGCTTTTCGGCTCAGAAGTGCCCACATTATCGAGATCTAAGACATTCATTTCATACTTCATCATGTATTCATTTCCAGAATGTTTGTTTTCTATTTATTTAATTATATTCCTTATTTTCATTATTTTTTTGTTTTCTATTTATTTATTTTATATTACTTTTTTTATTTTTCTATTTATATTATATTATATTACTTTTTTTATATTCTATCTATTTAGTTTTTTTATATTTTCTTTTTATATTTTCTTTTTATCATTTTTTTATCTCCCTTATATTTTTCCATCTATTTATTTATTTGTATTTTCCACTTATGTTGTTTAGTTGTTTGTTATGTATATATTATTATTACTTTTTTTTTCATTTTATTCATTTTCATTTTATTATATATCTTATTCTTATCTTTTTTTTTCCATCTTCTTTATTTTATTTTTTATTCACTTGTTCGTCTTTTTATTTTCTTTGTTTTATTTCGTTTGTTGTTTTATTTTCTTTGATTTATTTTTCTTTATTTTCTTAATTCTCATTTTTTATCTAACATTTTATATCTTTCAAGGGTGTTTCAATCAATCGAAGGTAAGTAATTTTGATCTCCATTTTACCTTTTAATTTAAATTTACAACTTTCTTAATTAAGACAACTGGAAATTACGTAGAATCGAAAGGGCAGTTCAACGGTGCTAACCCTTCCTTGACTGTAACCGACTCCCGAATCCGACACATCTTTGGTAAGATGTAGATCAGGTAAGAAATAAGGTATCCGATCAACCCATTTGTTTTAAAATAAATGATCGGTGACGACTCCTAATCCATTTAATCCACGACGAAGCCCAATTTCAGGCCCACCCGAAAGACGGTTCCAACATAAACGTAGGAACAAACCTCTACCACTTTCATTTAATTAATTAACCTATTTAATTTTTAGAGTGGCCACTAATAGAACACTTATTTATTTGAAAATATTAAAAATATATCTAGTTATTTTAAGACCATTCATTTCAATATTTAAAAAATAAAAGACATTCTTTTTTTTTATCAAATTATGAATTTATTTATTGATTTGTAATTAATTTTATTAAAGAAACTAATCCTAAAAGGATAATTCTAATCTTAATTAATTTCTAATTAAAGAACCTACACAAAGACTAAAGAACTTAAAGTCTAAGGTTTTATAAAAAAATTAAGGATTGATTTTAATGTTACTGAATAAATTAAAATATTGAAAAATCTAAAGATTTTATTCTATGTTTAATCGGGTGACACTTTTAAAATATTTAACAATTAGCATTCAATATTAATAATTAAACACATTTGATAGAATAATTAAAGCAATTAGAATGAAATTGATGACTAAATTGAGTTGAATCGAAATTCGGGGAACAAATTATAGTGATTTGGGGACTAAAATAAAATAAACCAAAACCCACATCCCACAACCAAAACACGTTAAAAATAGGGTGATTTAATGAAATAATTTCAACAAAAGTTTCCTCACTATAGAAGACAATATTTTAGGATAAGCCTCATTTTTATCTCTTCAAAAAAATTTCCTCGACCAAATTCTCTTTACTTGGTCGAAAATCTCATCCCAAATCCTTCAATTGTTAATCCAAGCTCATCCAATGTTCATCCTAAAAACCTATTTTTGATCTACCATAAACACTAAAACACCACTCAAAATATGTTTTTAAAGATCAAACACCCAAACTTTTCCAAGAACACCAAATGTTCATCTTTCAAAATCCAACTTTGATCTTCCACTAAAACAACCCAAACAAGTTATTTTTGGATCAAACACCCAAAATTTTCAACATCTTTCTTAAATCTACCCCAAAATGTCCAAGAACAAAGCCTAAACTACACCCAAATCCAATAGCATTTTCCCAACTTCTCTAAACCGAAACTACCAACACCCTAAACTGAAACCCATCGGCCACCATCTTCCCCACCAGAATCCAACGTCGGATGAGCTCCGGTCACCACTCCTCACCACTGATGAGCTTCGTTCGAACCATAAAAAAATATAAGAAAAAAAACAAAGCTAAGATCACCTCAAACCCTGAATCAATGACGAGCAGTGGTGGACAAACTCTGAAGGTAAAAACTTCTTCTTCTCTAACTTATTGCTTCGAAAATCCTTGGATTAATGCCTTGATTTCTCTTGCTAATGGTGTATTTTCGTTGTGTCTCGTGTGTTTAATTCTAATGATTGAAGCCCCTTTTATATTGATGAAATCGACTCTTAATCTAACCGTTCCCGCTAAAAAATGGTTAGAACGAGCTTAGATTCGAGAATGATCTTGAGCTCTAATTTTCCTCTTTTTTTTTTTTAAATTTTTTGCATGTTCGAAATGACTGGAGGTACGACTGCAGCTCACCAAGGAAGATAACCGGACTGGCGCGTGTGACTCACGCATCGGTGACGCACCATCGAACTCTTCGACCAATGGGACGCACTGATGGAGGAGTGCAGGCTTTCTTGAATGATGCAATCTTAGCCATTGAATCCAATCTAGATCCAATGGTTAAGATTGTTTTGTGTTTCTTTCACATGACTTGATGACGTGGCTCAATGAGAACCCTTGGATCTACCTCTTCATCCAATGGCTCTAAAGAAATTGTGTTTCTTTGACAAAGATGGATGAGGTTTCAAAAAGCTAGGCCCTTGGATCTATGACTCATCAATGGTCCACAATGGCTTCACAAGGATAAAAAAAAAATGTCATCATCAAGCCTAAAAAGTAGCACCACAATTAATATGCTGTTTTATTTTAAAGGCATAAAGCAAACAAATACCCCTAACGTTTGACAGTATATGAAAATTTTCCCCTATTGTTTTTTTGGAACATTTGACCCCACAACGTTTTATTGTGATTCAAAAGTCACCCCCGTTGGATGGAAACCGTTAGTCAACTGACGGTCAACGCCCCCATCTGACTAAGCAAGCACATGTGGACACAAATGATGATGTGTCGTGTCCACGTCACTAATGTATGCTGACATGGAATTGACATGTCAGATTTTTTTTGTTAAAAATTAATATTTTTAAGAATTTTGTACTAATGAGAGAGCAACACGTGTCACTCTCCTATTGGTGCGGATTGAAAAGAATGAATAAAAGCCTACTTGCATGGAAAGGGACTCGAACCTAGTGCAAGGGCATGAATTGGGATGACTCTTTCCACAAGGCCAAGCATAGTACTCAATTTTGTAAAGAAACAAAACCTTATTTAACCCATAATAAATGTTCGGTTTAATTAAACAAAATAAAATACATGTTTCAAATATCTCACAGGCATATGAAATGGGGGAGACTCAATTATTCCCAAAATATTAGAGTTTAGAAACCCCAATATTTCGAATAATTTATCCTCTCAAATTCTTCATTTTCCTTCAAGCAACAACTTCTAACCGATTACACAATCGTTTATTTCGAAGGTGAGTTGATTTTTTTGAATCGAATCATTAATTATTTCCTCAATTTCGAATGAGTTTTCAACTAAGTTTTGTTAAATGTTTTGAGTTTGTGCGGGTTTCGAATGGCTTGAAGGTGAGAAATGATGCTCGATCTAGTTGTTCGATTACGCAAAAATTCGGTTGGATTATGAAGTTAGAGGTGAGAAATGTCGCTCGATCTAGTTGTTTTTCTCATTGATTTGGTTCAATCAGCTGCTTTTTACTTGACATTAACCGTTTTTATTTTTTTTATTATAGTTTTGAATTATGATTATTATTTTTTGATTGGGTTAACGTGGATTATCTGACTTGGCATTCTTATAATATTTTGTGATTGAGATGGATACCAACTTTGTTTCTCTTTTGATCATTACCTCTCTGATGAGGTCTCGAGGATGGAAGAGAAGCTTAAGTTGACTGAATCTCTTCTGGAAAGCAAGGTATTGTTGTGGGGAAAAAAATTCAAGCTTACCTTGTGTTGGTATGTTGCTATAATTAGTTAATAAACATGTTCTGCAGAATCTTGAAATAAAGAAAATAAATGATGAGAAGAAGGCATCGATGGCTGCTCAGTTTGTAGCTGAGGCCACTCTGACAAGGGTCCATGCTACTCAAAAGGACGATGATATGCCTCCTATTGAAGCAATTCTTGCACCCTTGGAGGCTGAACTGAAGCTTGCGCGGCAAGAGGTTTTGTTGTGATTTTTGAACTATTGCTTCTGTCTCACAAAAATAATTTAGATTTTTTTATAAATTATATGTGATAGTTTTTTCTCCCATTGATTAGTTATTTTGGTTTAAATAGTTTAGATGTTTTATAAATTATATGTGATAGATTTATCCATTTAAAAGTCATTTGATGGAGGCACAAGATCTTTAGAGAGAGCTAAATCACTTTTAAATGGAACATGCTCAAATAGTTCATTCAACCATCCTTCCGATGGAACCAAGGAGGGTGAGGCACCAAATGATGAAAACCCCACTGATTTCCAGCCTGTGGACACAAAGGATAATGTTCCATCAATATTGTACGATTTTTCTGCAGAAAGAGGTCATAGCTTTGAGGAAAGCTGGTTACGAGAAAGATCAAAGGCTCAAGGATAAAGATGATGCAATTGAGGTTTATGCTTTGTTCTTTAAGTTCAATACCATTGGAATTTATCCTTCAGGATACATGCTTAATTAATCCTTGTATTTTCAGATGCTTGCTTAGAAGGTGGAAACCTTGACAAAGGCAATGGAAGTTGAGGCAAAAAGATGAGAAGAGAAGTGGTTGCAATGGAGAAAGAGGTTGCTGCCATGCGTGTGGAGAAAGAACACGAGAATAGGGCCAAACAGTTTGGTAACAACTCTAAGGGATCTACTGCCCAGCTGCTTACCGGAAGGTGCTTTTATTCTTTACTTGATTGTTTATATTTAAATTTTGTTCTTTCTCTATATTGTTTTTGTTGCACTTTCCCATTATTTTGTGGGTAAGCAGCCATGGTGCCAAGTGCCAACCTGCATATTATAACTTTAGCATGTTTGCATTTTCATTTTTATTTCAATTTTCAAAGATTGTTTCTTTTGATGTTTTAATTTATACCGTCTTGCTAACCTGAAATTTATATGCGATAAAAAATGACCTAGGTTTCTAATAGACAGTGTTCTTCCCATGTCTGGATCCCGTGTTTGCTTAGGACTGCATTGAATTAGTAGAATAATTGTCGTCTTGCTGATCAAATTAATGCCTTTTGAAAAATGGAGCATCATAGCATCATAATTACTTCATCAAGCTTTTTCAAAATCTTTTGATACCTAAAACTAACCTCATCTTTCAGTTCCTTGATTTCACGACAATATTTGTTTTCATATACAAGTTTGGATTTTTTTTCTTCACATGGGATTCATATGATGAAATTGTCTTTTTCTCTATTATTTTGTCAGCTTCTTTGAGAACCTATAGGCGTAGCCTGCTTAGAAGAAAAAGTATTCGAGCAATAAAATGAGAGAGTGTGTTTTATTTTGTTTAATTAAACCGAACATTTATTATGGGTTAAATAAGGTTTTATTTCTTTACAAAATTGAGTACTATGCTTGGCCTTGTGGAAAGAGTCATCCCAATTCATGCCCTTGCACTAGGTTCGAGTCCCTTTCCATGCAAGTAGGCTTTTATTCATTCTTTTCAATCCGTACCAATAGGAGAGTGACACGTGTCGCTATCTCATTGGTACAAAATTCTTAAAAATATTAATTTTTAACAAAAAAATACATGTCAATTCCACGTCAGCATATATTAGTGACGTGGACACGTCACTAATCATTTGTGTCCACATGTGCTTGCTTAGTCAACTGGAGGCGTTGACCGTCAGTTGACTAACGATTTCCATCCAACTGGGGTGACTTTTGAATCAAAATAAAACGTTATGGGGTCAAATGTTCCAAAAAAAAACAATAGGGGCAAATTGGCAAATACTGTCAAACGTTAGGGGTATTTGTTTGCATTATGCCTATTTTAAAATTGAAAGCAAAACAATTCCCCCCATTTCCCACAAAAACCAGTGGCTAGGATGAAATATTAGGGCTAGGATTTTTTGTTTTTTGTTTATTATTTATGCATATATTAGTAACAATGTTGGCTATTATTTGGGCCTATATAAAAACAATGTAATGGACTATTACCAAATGAAATGGACTAGCTAAAATGCAAACTATATAGTATATACTAACTATAGCATAAACTAATTTTTTAATATCTAATATAATATGCAATACTATTTATAATATGCAATTATTTAATATGAAACTATATGACATGCAATGCAATTATTATTTAATATGTACTACCTCGTGCAATTATTATACCATATGATATATGATATATCTAATATCCCAACTATATTCTATATACTATACACATGGCCACACATTTATTATATTACTATATTATAATATGGAAACCGCCATGTGTCACTGCCTGGATAAAATGGGTTATGACAGCTACCTCTCTTTGCTCATTGACGTGGAACGGGAATGAATCAAAGATAAGAAGCACCAACTTTATCTGGATGACTGCGAATCATGAGCTCCAGATCCTTCTGATATGAACCCTTCACTCTCTGATAAAAAGTTAACTTCGGTGTATGATCGAGCTCTCCTATATGAACTCTTCATTCTCAAAACGTCTTGGATAGAACAAACGAGATCTCCTATATAAACCCTCCATTCTACCACAACAACTCAGTCTAGGTTGAACGAGCTCTCCTATGTAAACTCATTCTTCCTGCATAAATGCTAATTCACCTCATTCTATGATAAAATCGAGCGAAAAACACAATGTTGATCCAACTCATTCTACGAAAAATCAAGCAGAGTGACGAAGCTGACCCACCTCCCTCTATGATGATGTCAAGCAAAATGATGATGATGTTCTAACTCTTTATGTGAAGAAACGAGCACCAGATTGGCGCTGATTCAAATCCTTTTGTAAAGAATCAAGAAAAAGATTTTCACTGATCTAACTCCTTCTGTGAAAGATCAAGTGAAAGGTAGTGACCGATCCAACTCATTATGTGAAGGATCGAGTAACATGACAAATACTGATTCAACGCCTTTTGTGAAGAATCAAAACAATTGCCAACACCGATCTACCTCAATCTATGATAGAATCGAGCAAAATAAGATTACACCCCATTCTTTCTGCGAAGAACCGAATGGAATGATGCTGTTGATCCAACTCTTTTTGCGAAGAATCAAAGAAAATGTCAAAATGTTTGGAATGAATGAACAAACATATATGCTCCTATTTATATGCCTAAACTTGAATGTATGCTGTAAATTATATTAGGACCACAATTTCCACTGACTCATGGGCCTCTTCTCTTCTTCTTTTCTCATTCTTCTTCTTCAAGATCCTTGCAAGGTTCCAACTCATGGTTTCATCTCATGGTTTCACGGTTTCATCTCATGTTCAGAATCAAACCCGTTCTATGTCTTCTTTTTGGGTTGCTTCCTCATATCACTTTAAAGTACCCTTTCAGGTTTTCACTTTAGATTCATTTTTCTCAAAGCGCCCTTTCGGGTTTTCGCTTTAGTTTTTCCTTTATTTTATTTTATTTTCTTTCTCTTTCTCTTTCTCTTTTTCCTTTCCTTTTTTTCTTTAAAACTGCGGTCTTTCTCATATGCCCCAAATAACATAAACTTGATGAAAATCTTCTTCAATGAGAACTGAAATGTCAAACTTGATCTCTCTATTCCAAATTTTAGGCTCACAAAGCTTCTCATTTAATAGGCTGAACACACACTCTTCATCACTAAATACAAGTGTCAAAATCTCAAACTACGTTAGATTCTCTGCGCTCAAAAGATAAGCTCAAAGTAATACCAAGAAATCTTATGTTTTTATATTCACCATGTTGACTTACTTAAAAGATGCTTAAAAAATAAAAATAAAAGATAAGAAGAAAAGCTCAGATTTAAAGAAATACAATTCATTGATGAAAATGCAGAACTTTACAAAGTCATGGCAATCTTAGAACGGAAAGAAAATCAAGAAACAAAGTACAAATGCTCCCAACCATTACTAGCAGGAAAGTTTCTGCACTAATCAACTCTGGAGCATTGATGTAAGCATGTGTTTAGAAGACTTCAAACGTTGTTAAAATACTTGCAGACGTGAAGCTTCTCCCACAATATCAAACTCTCGAGAGGGTATAAATTGTCGGATACCTAATATCAACATGCATTTGAGCTGCCCTTTCTGGTTTTCAACTCAAATCCTTCCTTTAGTTTCAAGACACCTTTGCGAATTTTCATCTTGAACCCCCTTTTCATTTTCTTCTTTCTTCTTTCTTCTTTCTTCTTTCTTCTTTTTCTTTTTCTTTTTTCTTTTTTCTTTTTTCTTTTTTCTTTTTTCTTTTTTCTTTTTTCTTTTTTCTTTTTTCTTCATCATATTTCTTGACAAAATCTGAGTTATTGGATTTCTCAGTACTTCTCCATCCATTTCTACCAAAATCAATGTTCTAATGGAAAAGACTTTTTTGACTACATATGACCCTTCCTAATTAGGCATCCACTTCCCATGGAAGTCTCTATGATTTGGCAAGATCTTTTTAAGCACTAGATCACCCTCTCAAAATTCTCTTGGACAAACTTTCTTGTTATGAGCTCGCATTATACGCTTCTGGTACATCTGACCATGACAGATAGCTCGTATTATTTCGATCCTAAGCCCACTCAACTTCATCCAACTCCACTTCTTTCAAGATCCGAAGCGACGAGATTTCAACTTCAATAGGCAATACTGCTTCCTTTCCATAAACCAAAGAAAATGGCGTTGCCCCGGTCAAAGTTCACATTGTAGTACGATATGCGAACAAAGTAAGGGGTAACTTCTCATGTCAATCTTTATAAGTATCAGTAGTTTTCGAGATGATCTTCTTTATATTCTTGTTTGCTGCCTCTACTGCCTCATTCATCATCGGACGATAGGCAATTGAATTATGGTGCTTTATTTTAAAATATGAACACAACTTTGTCATCACCTCATTATTCAGATTAGTGGCATTGTCTGTAATAATTCTCTCTGCCCATATCTGCAAATTATCTCTTTTTTGATAAACTTGCAAAATGTTGATCTCGGGATGCTGGTGTAGGAAGCAACCTCTACCCACTTAGTGAAATAGTCAATAGCCACCAGAATGAAGCGATAATCATTCAAAGCCTTTGGAGAAATTGCCCCAATGACATACATGCCCCACATCGAGAATGGCCATGG